TGATTTTTACATATTCTGGTAGCTCTTGAAACGGGCTTTAAGCTGACATAATATTTTTACCAAAAGAAGAAAGTTAGGGTTGTTTTGATGAATTTTTTCGGGAAGTCCACCATCTAGCTGAGGAACTGGAATTTGCATTGTATGGAAAATTTTGTAGATTTATAGCAACAAAGTTGATTTCATGTAGATTTTGATGATGTTGAATCAATTGTGCACAGTTATTGGAGTATTCAATGCATTTTCCGTCTCTCTGCATCATACCGAAATCGATTTTCCGGTGGAAACCTGCTTTCTTTTGATTATATAACGACTGACAGAAGTTTAGAGCAATGGTATTTTCGAGTTTTCTTCTTGACGGTTATACTTCGGAAGAATCTGTAAAAACATTTGTGTAGGTGAAAGAATCCTCTATTACAATTAGTGAATCTGAAAGCTCCGACAAACCTACTTAGGTGAGAATCTTTGGAAAATCAAGAACAACGAAACCAGTTTTCTGACTTTCATTCGAGCCTGTTAGGAAAATATTTTGTTCAATAAAACCGATAATTCTGAGTAAAGTGAGATATCTCTGATCTCTCCATTATCTTCGTCCATTGGACCGCATTCAATGTACAGAAGATCCAAGAAGCATTTTCCACTATTTTTTTGGGGAAATTTCAATGCTTTTGCAATGCTCGGCGCTTTGGAGCCTTCTGTGAATTGACTGGAATTCGATGAAGAAACACCATGGAGAAGTGAGAGACATCTCTTTTGCCTAGAATTGTTCGCTCGGTCGAATAAAATCGTTTGCAAAAAGCTTCAAACAGAAGCTGGAAAATGGATTTTGGGATTCTTGGCTTTTGAGAGAGCGTCATCAGAGCCGGTAAGTTAAATTTTTGAACGCCACAAACTCTGATAGAGAAGCCGTTCAGCTTCTCAAGTCTTTTTAGGAATTGTTCTTCATCACTACCATAGAGAGAAAAACTCAAAAATACAGCTGCTCTGGACTTCCGTCCACCGCTATACTATCTCTAACAAAGATTAATCTACTTGCAGCTGTTTTAATCACTAACGACAACAAATGTGTAAGTACCAAAAATTGGGGCTCATCGCTTCAATTTCTGCAAACATGTATTTAGATATAGTAATAATATAACAACCGCCCCTCAATATGCGTCAGATTGATAGTCTTCAATTGTATCATCATTCTCATCTTCCAGTTCATCATTATGTATATATCTATCGCCACCTTTATGCTGTCCTCTTCTCTTCCTCCATTTTGCTTCTTCGTTAAAACGCTGTTTATTCAAATCATCGACTGCAACTTCAGAAAAACCGCCCATGTCATCTATAAAACAAAAACCCAGAATTAGAAGTTTTGAACAGAAACAAAAAACTTTTAAAATAACTAAAGTTCATGTAATATTTCACCAATAGATTAGTAACCATTGCTATATATCATGATGCCTAATCCCAAACATACTAAAAATGAGTAAACACATTTAATGAACTATTGTATCAATCGGAAAACTGTATCTGTTATGTAATATCAACAATAGTTCCTCTACAAAATCTATTCTTGGGGGCCATTTGCCATAAGAATGAGTGAAATGTGGCATTAGGATTTGGAGTGAACACATTCAGCACACCTTTTAAAGTTTCTTCTGAAAAACCATCGCAAACAAAGGAGTAAAAATTATTATGAAGAGAAAGTATTTACTCGAAGCTAGATCATCAAATACGGATATAACAGCTTCCATAACATATTTTGGTAAAGAGTGTTTCTGCTGCTCATACGTTTTGCCTGTGTCAATATAAACACAAATATTTAATAAACAGTTGGAACAAATTATATGGATAAATAAGAAAATCAAAATTTTATAAAAATCATTTTGGATATATCCTCCTGGACAAAAATAGTTTTACACAGTATTTTCAACAAATGATTACTATAAATTAACATTTTTGGACAAGTAAGGATATATTCGGATAGCCCGAAGAATTCTCTACAAATCTATACATAAACATTTCGGATTGCACTTATACATAAAAAATAAATCCATGTAAAGTAAAGGCACTCTCATCTCCAGATTCCCCGAAAATGAATTTTTTCGTCCTTTTTCGTTTGACATTTTATCCTATTTTTATCCTGTTTTCTTCATTTTTTCAAGTTTTTCTCAACATAGGAAGAAGTTATAACAAAAGTAAGTACATATTCTGAAAGTGCGTGAAACGCGCTATCACCCTGTATATTTGTCAGTTTTGATATGCCACTTATCTGATGAATTAAAAGGAATAAAAAGAATTGAATGTAACCGGGAAATCTGGTAATGAGGGCACCTTGATTGTTCTTTATTTTATTTTTAATAAACAAATGCAATTTAAATTGAACATATATGGGGTTGTGTAGAACTCCGCGCGCTATCTGAACATATAATTGCTTTTCTCACAATGCTCATTTATAGTGATGATTTATTAAAAATACTGTGTAAAACTATTTTTGTCCAGGAGGATACATGTCAATAACGATCATTTGTATCTACACCAATCTCTGCACCACTCTTGATCGCGTTCTTCACTTGTTCATATCTAAAATATTATCAAAATGATCACAGTGAACAACGCTTTTTTTGTATTATAATATGTATTCTCACTTTATATTTATAAATCTCCCATATGCGTTTATGCATCATGTCTAAATCGTTTTTATATTTATTGATCACTTTCGCATAATAAAACTTAAATTTTATCATCATTTCTACAGCAAATCACCAAAAAATATTGCCTATTTATTAAAAACATGTATTGTAGAGGCATATACATAATCTATAGAGCTATATATTTAGTTGAATTCATTGGAGATGTGATAAGTTATTTATGTCTCTGTGTAACTGTCGAGTTTCATCTCAACTGTCTGCTAGGCTAGACTTGGATTTTCTGTTTTCCATATCCCGTTGATTTTCGAATCGAAAAATAGTAGTAGATTGAAATTAGATTGAATAGAAACAGTTTGATTGATGAAGTTCCTTGATAGAATTAGAGACTACGAATAGTTGTTCTTTATTCCTTACTCTTGGTTAAACGATTAACACCACGAATGCCTTTTCGTTTTTTCTCTGAGTCTAGCATTATTCCTTGCAAGTCGCGGACCGACTTTTCTAACCGATATAACATTTTCTTTAACCAATGATTGATGTTTTCAATCTTTTCTATTCTGACATCTGGATATGGAAGATATTGAATGAGACACGACATGACATGCGAGTCTCCATCCTCAATGTAGCTGTAATATTAAAAAAACAAGAACATATATTCTATCTACTGTTTTTATGTTTGTACACACTGAATGTACTGCACTTCATATTTCTGAAAGGAACGTTTGAATGAGTCATGAATACCTTGTAATATCATGCCACCTACAAAAACGTTTGACATCGATTTATTTTCATAGTTTTCTAATAAAGAAATCCTAATTTACCAGAAGAACCATTATAATTTGGTTCACTGTCATGATTACGAATAATTTTGTCGTATAAATCTGGATTTTCATTTGTAATGTTCAATGCACCAGCTCATACTAAACATTTCTTTGACAAACGTCCAGCATTGAGTATTTTTGATGTTGCGGTGCATGATAAAACAGTAGTCACTCCATGAATACTTTTTAAATCACGTTTTTGACAGTTCTATCTCCACTAACTGTTAACCTTGTTGGTTCACCATCGTTCTCGCCAACAGCTTCATCTAAAAGGTAATAAGTATAAAATGAAACGAGAACATACGTTTTTTACAAAATACTTACAAATAGCAGCTTGCATTGATTCATTCTGAAATTTTTTGATGCATGGTAATAAGATTCTTTTATCAATTTCTTCGAAATGATCTTCCTTTGGTTGTAGAGCTATATTCATCGCAGCAAATATTTTAGCAATACCGGTGCGACCAATACCTGCCAAATGTGATTCTAGAAAAAAAGATATAACGTTATCAGGGCTGAAAAAACAAGATAAGTGGCTTTCTCTTATTGAATCCAATACTGACATACCTAGTTGAACATGTATATTAATATCACAATGTCTAGTATGTGGAATAATCTTAGATGTGCTAATTTGTATTGTATTTTTGCATTTTTTGCTGGAAAATTTTAATGAACAATAAAAAACTAGATGAAAAAAGAAAATGAAAATGAGTTATATAGAAATGCACATAATCGAGAGCCTATCGAATTCCAAAACTGATCAAAGAAGTTGGCTCGCCAAAACATAGACTTATGTAGCATTGCTTCAGTCCCCACCCCCCTCAAAAATCGATCTCAGTCCAGAAACGTTCAAATGGGTTGAAATTTTGAGCATATGTTGGGGGCTGAAGTGGGGAGGCTGTGATACAATTTTCAGCTCGATTCACTGGGATTTAACAGAGATATAAACCAAACAAAGGTCAAAAATAGGTCATTTTGGTACAAGGATTTGTCAGTCCCAGCTCGGGATATATATTTAAATTTTTTTTTGTTGGAAAGAGCGCGTCGAGCTGCAGACCACTATAGAGTCCTTTTTTTTTCATTCTTACTTTTTTAGCTGAAAAAGGGGATCACAAGTTCAATGACTCAAAAAAAGCGCCAAAAATGAGTGTCTATGTGCGTACACCCAATAAAAAAACAAAGCTTAGTTAAAAAAAAGAACTCTATGGTGATCTGCATCTCGACGTGCTCTTTCAAACAAAAAAAAATTTAAATATATTGACAGAGCCCGGACCGAGAATTCCTTGTCCGAAAATCAAAAAATCATAAACCGAGAAAAAACGAAAAACATTTTTTGATTTTTCAAAAAACAGCTGGTTTTTCGAATAGGGGGTGACGAAAATCTTCGAAAATTTTGGACAAAAAGGAGGCATCGAGGAAAACTTTTTATCAGTTATGAAAGAGCAGACCAAGGGCTACCTTCCCATGCATTTATCTCAATTTCGAAATTTTTGACGAAAATTGACTTTTTTTGAGGGGGGGAGAGGGGCTTCAGCTTTACATACTTTTACGGAGAGGAGAATAATTTATCTAATTATAGAGCTTTTCAATTTTTTACACAACAAAGTCGAAGAAGCATTTTCTGTAAACAAGCCAAAAAAAGCGTCACACCAATATCATTTATACATACTTTCTCTCTTACTAATATTCATTTTCCCATTCCACGGTTGCTTACATTGAACACATACTGTACTTTGCATCAATTCTGATAAAAAAAAACTGTTATGGGTTACTTGATAAAAATGTAATTCATCACTGTCAACTATTGCTTCGTTTTTTCTACTTTCATAGGACATCTTTTTGCTGTCAAGTGAATAAGTTAGGTAATGTTTTGTGGGAGTAAGATAGGCCTGTTGTCAAGTTCAATAAACTAATGAACACTTTTTGAGTATTATTTGATAATTCAGCTGGTGGCAGTGATCTTGAACGAGCTGAACTAGATGAATATACCTACTTGATTTTAGATAACCGAACTTTACGACAATTTTCCGTCTTACTCCTCTCATGAGACTGATGACCTTTTGCAACAGCCATTTCAAATTCACTCTCCATAAATACACTATATCAGAAAATGGAAAATTTCATAAGCCACCGCCGGCAAAGGTGAAACATAAGAAATGATGGCCAATATAAAGCAATACATGTAGTCCAGCAGAAATTCATGTTCTACGTTTAGACATGTAATTGATTGAAAATTCACTAAACAGATTTTCATTCGAGATCTTTAGTAAAAATACTTCTCATTTCAGTTAACAAACTACATAAAAAATACATACAGGCATCTAGAATATTGAAAAACTGTCAAAAAAAAATCTTATCTCCGGAATTAATTAGAAAATTGATAAAAAGATGAGCGACTTGAAGCGATATCTAAGTATACGGAAGCATGACCACAACTGACGTATGATATGTACTTCTAAGAGCACTATGCTATGTATGCATACATGCCATCTAATAAAGCTTGACGAACAATGCGAAAATGTCAGGTACCATAAGCAGACTTATTTAAGATTGAGACATTTTTAGATTAAAACACTGGTGTGCGTTTTTCTCAAAATCCTTTTTTTTCGAATATACTGTTTATGCGGGCGAACCTTTCTTAATAACAGCTCAACATGAATGTGGTAACTTTTTTTTATTACACAGCAGACAGCTAGTGCTAGGTCGTAATAGAGCCTGATTTTTGAATTTCTCTTTTACTGAAATAAAAAACTTAGATCTTTGATTTTAATTAGCGATTTTTTTGCCACAAATTTGAGAATTTTGTGAAACTTTTTGTGAAACAAATAAAGAAGAATTCAAAAACCAAACTTTATTACAACCTAGACATAACTATGCTCTACAATTTAAAAACCACTCTGACATGTTAGCTCGCAGCCTCATTTTGAAAGCTCTGTCCGCGTAAATGATACTCTATGACCAATGGATCGACTATAACTCATGATTAGCTTAGAGATTTAGGGAGATATGTTACCCACAATCTATACTAGCCATGACTAGCATTCTCTGAAATTTCGGTTCAAGTCGGATGAAAAGTAAAGAAGTTTGTTTCTGAGGGGGGGGGGGGGGGGCCCGTGGGAGG